ATTTAAAAAGTATTGTAGTTATGATGATAACAGTATTGTAGTTATGAAGATAATAAAGCGGTATATGAAAAGGCTGAGGAGAATTGTTCGAATCAAAAAGTTCATTTTTAAATATTTCAATTTTAATTTACATATTTTATTTAATTCTTAAAAATTCCAAATACATCGCAAGTATGGATTACTTCATTGGAAAATATTGGATGCAAAAAACGTGTCCTAAAAAAAACACTAAAACATTCATTCGAAATAATCAAAATGTTGTAGATGAATTAATTTAATAAAATAATGTTGACATTCTAATCTTTCACGATGATATTATTTAAAATGATCAAAATTTGAAAGGAAGGTCATTTATTATTAGACAATCAATAAATGAATTAAGTAGATAGTAATACATATAATAAATAGTTGATGTTTGTTCATGCGGAAAATTTCCATTTCATTTAACGTACTTTTCATTTACCACCTCAATCAAATTGACGCACTTTCTATAGTGAGGCACTTTGTTTCAAATTTGCAACCTGCAGATCATTTAAAATCAATCTAATAATTTTTTAATTTTTTGTTTTAATATGGAAGGCTCAAGTTCAACAGCGACAATTAATGATTTTGATGATGAAACAAGAAAATCAAATTTTCAAGAGTTAAGAAATAAAATTAGGTATGCTTCTTTTTTTTTAGAATTCAGGGGGTATGAAGGATTATTTCTTTAATAATTATTTCAAAAAAAATAGGTCCGATCCGATATTTAGGGAATTTCTTGCTTCAGATAAAAAATATTTTACCGAATATTTTGGAAATTTGGATTATTGGATAACGGAATTATTAATTAATTTCAATGAATCAAAATATGATAAATATGAAAGTGAATAATTATTTTTTTCTTCTATGTAATTACTTATGGACTTATTTAATTATTATTCCTTTTTCTCACAAAACTTTTTTCTATTAGAATTTCTTAATAAATTTCTAGAAGCAATCAAAGAACCTTTGAAATTAATATCAATTTTATTGACAAAATGTGATCAAGAGATAAAAACGCATCAGATTCGATATTCAAAATTTGTTGGAAAATTATCGACTAGTGGATAGTAAGTATTAAAAAAACAATTGCTTATAGAATATTTAACGAATAATCTTTTCATTGTTTTTCATATAAATCAGTATTGTGGGAGCGATTGGATTTTTATACCTTCTTCGATATATGATTAGCCGTCGTTTTACTTCACATGAGGTAATTATTCATTTATGAATTTTTCTGATTCTATTAATTTCAGTATTTTATTATTTAAATGAACATTATTTATTTAAAATTTTTAAAATATTTGATATCTAGACGTATACTGGAGCTGGTTTGGCTATGGGACTTGTATTAAGTTATGTAGTGAAATATAAATCTAATCGTAATTTAAAATCAACTTTAGAAACTCAAGAAAGCATAAAAATTGCATTAAAAATATTGGAAGGTGAATTAAAAAATTGGGAAAGAAATGGACTTAATTATAAACAAAAAGGTGATAATAATGAAAAAGTTGAATTTTTCACTTATGTGAAAAAACAGTTGAATGAATTAAACGAAGACTTCAATACGATTGAAGAGAAAGATATTTTATAAAAATCTTTTGAGATTTTAATAGGTGTTTTATTTCTTCAAATATGCATTTTATACATATATAAAATATTTTGATTTGTAATGTTAAATATATATATTAATAATATAATAAATATTTGTTAAAAATACCAAATTTAATGTTATATATGAATTAAGACAAAAAAGTGGGGTAAATTTATATATATTTTAAGTATGTTTCAAATCTGTTATAGGTCAAAAACATAATAATTTATAATAATTTTAAAAATTTTGATTTTTTTCAGTGTATAAGAAAGTATCTTTTATTTTTTGAAAAATTAAATTAAACTTTTTACAAAACAATAGACAAATAGTATACTTAGCAGATACTAAAACTTAATCTATGATTTCTTTGTACCAATTTATATTTACCTATAGGGCAGCTGATGATTTATAGTTTTATTAAATAACTTATCCCCGGATTTTATTATAAAACGAGTGCCGATCTTAGCCGGATCATGTCTTAAATTTATTAAATTTCTAAAGTAAATAATTCTTAAACATTGAAATATAAATACACTGAAATATAAATACACGTGAATAAATACAAAATACATCATTTTGTTACAAACCCCCCCCCCCCCGATTTCATCTTGTATTAATTGTAATTGAATTGTTTGTTTGTTTGTTTGTTTAGTAATGTTAATTGTTTGCAAATAATGAATAATAATAATTTAATATTATTATTATAATCTAGTTCAAATGAATTATATATATATATTTATTTATTTATTTATAATATAATTAATCTCTATATATTTATGAATATGAATTACGGTTGGTCAACTTGTATAGTCACTTTATGAATTTCATATTTATCCTTCAGAATTTTCTTAGCTTTTAACAATACTGAAGATTGAGTAAATGGTTCTGAATGAATTTCAGGATTATGTTTTTGTAATATTAGATGTGATGTAAGTGCAGTCTATAAGAAATTGAAAATTTTTAATAAATAATTAAAATAATAACAATAATAAAAAAGAGAAAAATATTATTATTAATTATTATTTACCTTGCCAAAAGTTAAGTCCCATACTTTTCATAAGAAATAAATTTGATATTTGATTAATATAATATTTTAAATATAATCAAAAAAATTTATATTTATAGAAAGACTTACTGTGCAAATCATGGACACTTTTCACTCCTTCAATTCCATTCAAATCAGACTTAACAGCTTGTGCATCTATATGAAATGGTGTAGCTAATGAAAATAAAAAATAAAAATAAAAAAACAAAATTATATTTTATTATTTATAATTTTTTTTCATATAATAATGAAAAAAATCTTCAAACCAAACAAACCTTCCATCAATACTCTTACACTACTTTTTAATATTCCAAAAGTGGATGCCATAACAAGTGCCGAAAAGAAAAATGTACAGAAAGGATCTATCCAAACTTTACTTGAATCATAAAGGATTATTATCGATGAAATTAAAACTCCTAGAGATGACAAAAAATCTCCAAATACATGCAACAAAGCAGCTTTAACATTGACGTTATCTCCATTATGATAATGTTGACTTTTCTTATGATGATTATGTTGATTATGGTGATGATGTTGATGTTGATGATCGTGACCTAACACAATAATTAACCTTAATAAAATTTTTTCGGACAATTTTTAATAAAATTTAATAACCTTAATATATCTTAATAACTTAATAAATCTTAATAAAACCTTAATAACCTTTAATTACTTACGAAATATTAACTAAAACTCCAATACAGGCAATAGTAAACATTGTTCTTCCGTCTACATTTCTTGGGTGATATATTCGATAATAGGATTCAAGACATAAAAAACCGGTGAGAAGCCATATCAGGAAAATTGATAAAAGTGCTCCTAATATTTCAGCTCGATGATATCCGTATGAATGTGCTTTTTATAAAAAAAAAATATTAAATTAAATAAATAAAAAAATCGAAAAAAATGTAATTATGTACAATAAAGAAAATACTTACAGTTTGTAGCTGGACGACGGGCAAGATAAATGGATAAAAATGAAATCGCAAAACTAATTACATCTAACAAAAGTATATTAAAATTTTAAGAATGATGAAGTACTATTTTCATATTGTATATGAAAAGTGAATAAACTCACCACTCAGTAAATGAAAAGAATCACATAATAATGCTAAACTTCCAGAAATAAAACCACCAAAAAGCTCAATTCCAAAGAAAATCAACGATATTCCAATAGCAATAAGTAATTTTCTTGAACTATTTTTCTCTTTCTTTTTAAAATTATCGATCCCATTAGATTCTTCCCCATTTATCCAACATTTATCTTCTTCTTCCTCTTCTAAACATTCAAGAGAAAATTCATCTACTAAAGGTACTATTATAAAATCTTGTGATTTATGAGTGATTGGTGAAGAGGGATACGCTGGTGATTCTGGTGGAATGGGACGAACAGAAGTATCGTCTGATAGTTCATAACTATTTTTATTCAAAAGGCAGTCTTTGCTTTCGTCTGACATATTTTAGTATGACTTTTTTTGAAATAATGTTATAAAATTTCTCAATATTATAAAATTATGAAATTATGAAAATGAAGTATTTTTGAGCGAATAATTAAAAAATCAAACCAAATTAAGGCTACACTAAACTAATTACATGTATCACAAATAAATAAAGTAAAAATAGCTTCTTTGTTTAATTATAAATGGTTTTTTGTGTTACTAATATTATTTATAGTCAGAAACCTGAATTCTACAATAATAGGAAGATCAAACAATTTACGATTCACTTTGTTTAAACGTTAAATTAATTCAAATAATAATAGAACCAAAAAAAAAATAATCCTGAATTAATATAGAAAATAGAAAATTTATTATTTTGACATAAAATACAAAGCAGCAATGAAAAATACAAAGTAGCAGCAATACATCAAAATACAAACATTTAAATTATTTAAATTCTTCGAATGGATTGTAATACATCGATAAGATGTGTAATGTAAAAATAATTCCAATTTTTTTTTTTTTTTGAAAATCTTTATGCACGAACGGTCATTGACTGTTTAAATCTTTCTTAGATTTAAATGATAATGATAATTTTTTAGTACCTTTCAAATTCTTTTGTATTAAACTTCCTTTAGCTATCAAAAGCTTCATCAATACTTTCATCAATCACATTTGCTGGTACTTTATCATTTAGACTTTTAAGACATAATTCTAGCCATACAACTGTTCAATAGCCATACAACTGTTCAAAGAAATTTACATTCTTCTCATATACATGATCTCTGTAATTTTTTGCCTTCATAATTAAGATCTTTTCCTTCTTTTACATTTATATATAATTTAAGTTTTCATTAAGTGTTTGAGGTTTTGTCCATTCAAAATGTTTAGAACTGTATCAAAAATGACGATTTTTGTTCCATCTAATAACAGTATTATAAGCAAATCTCATCAATCCGAGCTTCAAGATCTTTTTTCTGGATATGTTTTAATTGATTCACGGTTGTTTCAATTTTTTGTTTTTTTTTTTTTTTTGATTCACGTTTTTATCATTTTTGTTTTCTTTCATTTTTTTGTTATCTTCAATATGTAGCTGCTCTTCTTCATTGTATTCAACAGATGAAGATAGTGTTGATCGCAAGGATATCTTGTGATAATTCGTGTTTAGTGGAGCTTGATTTGTTAAAGAGAAACATGAATTTTGTAGAGTGTTATGAGAAATATATATTTGATGAAGTCAAATGTGAATCTACAGAGTAAATCATCCACAACTTCTGAGACCATTCCTTTATTTGGTAATTCCAGTAAGGTCTTAAGTCTGTAATACAGTATTTGTTATTTTGCTAAAAGAATATGTTTTTTATTTAAGAATGTGAGAATGATAAAGTATTTGAAACTTACTTTCTCTTATTCTTATATTTATAAAAAAATAAAAAATGCAGGGGTGCAGTATTAGTTTCGCGATAATAATAATTGGTAATTGACAAATCATTTTATAATTGTTAAAAATTAAGGAGGTAAGTATATTATTTTTTTTTAAAAAAAAAAATGCTTTCCGTTTTCCCGTCGCGAAACCCGTGAACCCATTTCAAAGGATAAGGTAAGTGTTTTACTTAAAAAGAGAGAAAGATAAATGAGGAGAAAAGGTAAGTATATTGTTTTTTTTTTGTTGCTTTTAAAACAAATGAAAAATACACCTATCTATACATCCACATACGTCCGCGGTGTTAAAATCTTTTTTTTTTTTTAAAAAAAAAAATATTCCGCATTTTACCTTAGTTAAATCTAAAGATAATATATTTTGTTCGTTACACTTAAAATTTAAAATTCTACTAATTAATTTGAATATATGCAGTAATATTTAATGACAGCTATTACGTCATAAAACAGGAAATAGTAACTTTACTTAGTAATACTTAGTACATTTGTATTGATTATTATCGATGTATTACAATCCATCTGGTGATTTTCCCGATGAATTTTATATTATAATTTATAAAGAAATTAAATTATTCCTTGAAATGTTCATCAATTAGTAGATGTTTCACGCATTTATAAATAATGCAGATAATTATTCTTAATTCACAATTTTGAGTCAGATAAAAGAGATAAAAGGAGCTTTCGTATAATGGTAATATCCGATAATTATCTATTTACCTTTATCAATCGAAGCAACTTTAACGTTAGCCAATAAATTTAATTTTGCTATATTAGTATATAGTGAAACCAAATCCTGTACAAATATTCGGAGAATGAACGTTTCGAATTCCGTAATTTCTCTACTGGATTTCTAGAAATAAAAAAATTGTTTCTATAGAAAGAAACAAAGAATATATTATTGCATATAAAAAAAAACCCATAAATTCCACTTAAAAAAACTATAAATTCCATCTAAAAAAATTATTTGATTAAATTCCAAATGGACTCGTTAAAGTTAAAACTAAAAGGAATGAAACGTAGAAAGGACAGTTTATTCCAACGTCCCTCAAAAAACCCACGTGGGGAAATCGAAGAAAACGTAGAAAATGTTAGCACTCGTGTTGATATCATGCCAATTGATGATAATGATAATGATGAGATGGATTTTGATGAAAATCCTTCTAATCTTGAATATGCTGCTGAATATTTACAAATGGCCGCTAATGTCGCTGAAATTCCATTACATCTATTACCCTATGGAGAATTATTTACCAACTTTTTTAGATTGGGGAGTGAAATTATTACTTTAACCACTAAAGCTGAACATAATCTATCAAATTGTGAATTTTTTAAAATCAGAATTAATGCCGCAATGGCTTCTGTAAAAGAATTAAATCAACGAAATGATGATATATTCTTTACAAAAGAAAACATTGACCTCTTTAACGCATTTGTACACTGTATGAAAAAAATAAAAAAATATATTATTGGAATATCACAACTTGGTAGAATACAAAGTTATCTTCAAGGAAATATAATCGAAAAAAAATTTAAAGATCTTACTACTGAATTTGACTCATATATGCAATCTTTGCATTTTTCCTTTGTTATGATCTATTTGGATAGAAAGGAAGAGTTGCGAATAGTTAAAAATGAAGTGAAAAAAACTAGAAAGGTAAATTTAAATGCATAATATCATATATTTCTAATATATATTTATATAATTTAAAATGTAAATTTCCTTTTCAAAGTTTATTTCTCAAGTTAAAGGTGGTATCCCGGATCCATCTAATCAAAACGTCTCAACCCAAATTCATGAAGTCCTAAAAATGAATATAGATTTTCAGAAACAACATAAGGCCAAATCTTATATTGTGAATGAATCAGAAATCGAAATTGCAGATGAATCCTTGCAATTCTTAGATCAGGGGTTTTATCATACAATCCCAAATTGTAAAGAAAGAGGAAAAATTTCCAAGAGATTACATAGAGATTCTGGCGAAGAAGCGGCATTTAAGGAGTTTCCAATTGTTTCTAGTGAAACAGAGTTGGATATTAAACATCAAGTGATAATTTTACAACGATTAAAAACTTCAGATCATATAATTAAATTTTATGGTATTGTTAAAGATGAACATAAATTTTTCTTAGTAACTGAATGGATGGAGGAAGGAGATTTAATAGAATATTATGAAAAATACCCAAATATTTCGTGGAAAACGAAAATTGATTTTGCCATAGATATTTGTCGCGGACTTATTTATTTAAATGCTGTTAAGGTAAAATTTTTTTTTTTAATTGATATATAAATAATAATTAAAAAAAAATATAACTTTATTTTATAAATAGATTTACCACCATGATTTACGAGGCTCCAATATTTTAGTAAATAAAAATCATAAAGTGAAAATTGCTAACTTTGGTTTAAGCCGAACTTTTACTGAAGTCACAAGAAATATTCAAAAAGCCAATCTTGATATTGTAAGATATATGGCACCTGAAAAATTACAAAATGATAAAAAACATGATTATGATGTCAAATGTGAAATATATAGGTAATTTTTTCATTGATTTTAGTTATTTATTTTAATGAAATCAATAAAATTTAAACTTTAATATTTATTTTTAATTAGTTTTGGTGCACTCTTGTGGGAGATAGCTGAAGAAAAAAGGCCATTTAATGCTATAACAGATTTTCAAGTCATTCGTGATCTTGTACTTGAAAAATTATTCCGCGAGCCATTATCTGATGGGGTACCAGATTTCTGGAGAAATTTAGTGACTAAAGGTAATTTATAAATTTATTATTATTATTAATTAAGTAGAAAATATTAAAAATATTCTGATTATCTTTATGTTTGATAATACTTTTTATTTAGCTTTGAGTAACGATCCAAATGAACGTCCAGCATTTTCGAAAATTTTCGAAATTCTCTTCTTTGAGGGTCAAGCCCCAGATGAACCCGATACTGAAGAAAGTAGCTGTTTTTATAACGAAGAAGATGATATATTAGATATTAACACTCCAATTAATACCCCAGGATATATGAGTGTTCAGCAAGCAATTGATGAACATAAAAATGGCAATAAAAAAATAGCCTGGAAATGCTTTTGTGATCATGCTGATAAAGGAGATGTTACTGCAAAATTTTGGGTTGGATATTATCTCTTTAATTATGATAATTCCGAGATTGATGAATTTGAAAGTACTAAGGAAAAAAATCTTATAAAAGCAGCCCAACTTTTTAAAGAATCAGCTGATAATGGAAAAACCGAAGCTCAATATTGGTATGGAACTTGCCTTTGGAGTGGAAAAGGTGTAAAAATCAATTATAATGAAGCATTAAAATATCTAAAAAAAGCTGCTGATAAAGGCTATACAAATGCCATGTATAATGTTGGAAGTGCATATTACACAGGTAAAGGTGTTGACGAAGATAAAGGGTTAGGAATTCATTATTTAAGAAAAGCAGCTGGAAAAAATCATACCAAAGCAATTGAAATGTGTAGGAGCTTTAAAATACCTATATATATACAACAATAATATTACATATAATAATCATTTTAACAATTTTTTTTTTGTCAATTTTAATAAAATACAATATTTCTTTTGTTACTAATTGTTATTCTAAATACAAAATGAGTCCGAAAATTTAAAAGTATTAAAAGTAGCGAAAATTTTATAAACAGTTGTAGTGAAAGAGTAAAAATACGAAAAATACGAATGCTCTCGGTCGGGGAATTGAACCCCGGTCTCCCGCGTGACAGGCGGGGATACTAACCACTATACTAACCGAGATTTTTATTGAAAAAGCATTAATTTTAAAATATTTAAAAATAATTTCTAATAATTCCAAATATTCAATTAAAGCACGCTTCTTGTCATCTTTTGATTATTCATAATGTGCATTATATTAATAGATTTTATAAAAGAAACAAAAAAAAAATTTTTTTTCAAATATTTAATTTTAATTGATAATATTTTATTTAATATTTTTATTTATTAGCAATTTTTATTATACAATTTTACAAGACATTAAATATAAATATATAATTATTTAATAAATATTAATTATTTAATTATTTAATTATTTAATAAATATTAATTATTTAATTATTTAATTATTTAATTAATATAAATTAATAAATAATAATTATTTAATATAATTAATAAATAATAAATTATTCTATAACCAAAATTCTAAAAAGAATCTTTATCTATGATTTTATGCAACTTCCAGGTATAATTTTTCCGGAATCTTGTGTAATATAAGAACAATTATTCGCTTCCTGAATCGAATTATTATTATTAGAATTATTAATAGAATCATTAATCGAATTATTGTTAGAATTATTATTAGAATTATTAGGATGTTTAATTCGATTATGTTCCATATGAGATTTGACCAGATGTCCTACAGATAAAGCTGCACATAAACTTAATTCACCAGCTAACACTGCCGCACAAATTATTCTTGCTAATTTTTGAGCATTTTCTCCCGGTTTAGTTGGATGAGCTCCTTTAACTCCTATCATATCTAACATAGCACCTTGTGGTCCTAACATAGTACCACCTCCTATGGTTCCAACTTCTATTGATGGCATAGTACATGTAATATGTAAATCTTGACCATTATTTATTGCCTTCATTATTGTTATGCAATTTGAACTTTCTACATTTTGTGCTGGATCTTGACCTGTAGCTATAAATATTGCAGTTAATGTATTAGCTGCATGTGCATTAAATCCTCCTACAGAACCTGCCATCGCTGATCCAATTAAATTTTTTGATATATTTAACTCTACTAATGAAGAAACTTTTGTTTTTAATACTTTTTGTACTACATCACCAGGAATTATTGCTTCTGCTACAACAGATTTACCACGTCCTTCAATCCAATTAATTGCACTCGGTTTTTTATCTGTACAATAATTTCCACTAACCGATATTATTTGAATATCAGGGAAATTTTCCTTCATTACAGATAATGCTTTTTCACATCCCTTTGAAATCATATTCATTCCCATTGCATCTCCTGTTGCGGTTGAAAATCTGATGAATAATAAATTTCCTGCTAAAGTTGTTTTAAGTTTCTTTAATCTCGCAAATCTTGAAGTAGAATCAAATGTTTGTTTAATTATTGTATAACCTTCATTATCCAACCAATTTTTTGCTTCGCTGGCTCTTATAATATTTGGAAATTCAACACATGGACCACGAGTCATTGCATCTTGAGTAATAATCGTAGTAGCACCTCCACCAGCATTTATAGCTTTGCATCCACGTGATGTTGACGCGACAAGACATCCTTCAGTAGTTGCCATTGGTAAATGTATCATTTCTCCATCAATATTTATGGGTCCAGCAACTCCAACAGGTATTGGCATATAACCAATTACATTTTCACAACATGCACCTGTAACTCTGGAGTAATCATAATTTTCCATTGGTAATGCAGACTTTTCTAACGTTTTGGTCATTGACGCACGTGATATGAGAATCCTCCTTATTTTAACTGCTCGTTCCTGATTTACTAAAACTTTTTCCAATGCATGTGATGCAATTTTTCCGTTGTTAACTAAAATAATAATTTCTTCATCACTTAAAGCTGATGGTCCACCTAAATGTGATGATTTCAAAATTTCAACACAATCTTCTATAGATCGAGTTGGAAATTGATTTTCATTGATTGTTGAAATAATAGTAGTTGTGGTAGATATTGAAGTTCTTCTGGTAACATTTATTGAATTCCTTGAAGTTATTTGGGATAATTGTTTTTCATGAGATTCAACATGTGAACTAAGTTCAACCTCAGGAGATTTCGTCTCACCATTAATAATGATAGCGTTATTATTGTTGATGTAATTATCCTCAAAAGAAGAAATAATAGATTCTCTTCGACTCAAATCAGTTTTAGAATCAGTTTTAGAAATTTGTTGTTTATGAGAATTTAAAAGATAAACATTCAAAAAAATCGAAAATACCAATCCAATAGAAATCCATTTTGAAAATACGGAATCTTGTACATAAAAAGACCACATATTAAACATCGAATCAAAACTCTTATAAAATTCCTGAATTATATAAGGAGTAGTACTTCCATTTCCACTTTGTATAATTTCAAAGGTCATGGGTGGTGCAATATCAACGATCAAAGGAAAAAAAGATTGTGGACTCGATTGATGTTTAGAAAGAATAATTTTAAGTGTTGATATTATTGATGGATCACGAATATCAATTGTTGGAATTTGTTGAGGAGAAGAATATGAGGAGGATAAGTCTGGAGTTGATTGAATAGATTCATCACTTGTATGAAATGTTGTGCAAAAATTAAGGATATGCATTATCACGAATCCTACAATCTAAATAGAATTATAAATTATTTTTAGCTTTTTTTTGTGGGGTTAATCTCTTTGGATAAATTTTTTCATAATTATAAAACTTACAATTAATAATTTAACTCTGGCAATCATAGGATTATCAAATTTTTTGGCCTCCTCTGTTTCAACTGTATTATCACGGAAAGCTTTAATAATATTATGTCGAATATTTGCAGGACTACTTTTTAATTCATCTCTTGCTGTTGATTTTTTTGTCAATTGTGCTTCCCTTATTCTTTTTAACTAATATTATTTTTTTTAAAAAAAAAGAAAAAGAAAAGGAGAATAAGAAAGTAGAATAAATAGACAAAAGAGTATATATATATATTAATATTTGATTACTTACTTCAAGTTTAAGAGTTAACATAGCAGTATAAAATGTGAACAAGAATAAACAATCATATAATAAGATAAAACCAGCCAAGAAACAAAATTCTTGTAATCCTGCTACTCCAGACATTGCTCCAATAAATAATACCGCGATCTCAATAAAGTAATCTCTAACTATTGTTGGTCCCTCTTTAATTACACCATCAATAACACTATCTTGTACATTATATGGAATGATAGGAGATTTTTTTCCTTCGATTTGATATAACCCAGAACTTGAACTGAAAATTTTAGAATTTGTAGGAGCGGCAGTGAGGACAGCTTTAGTAAGAGTAAAAGGTTTTTCAAATCCTACAGTTATTACCAAGAATGGAATTGCTTCACTGATAACATTTGATATATAAAAAAAAATAATAATAATAAATTTAATATCTCGAATAATAACAATAAAAAAGAAATGAAACAAGTAAGAAATAAAGAAACTAGTGAAAATTACCTTAATAATACAGGATTTACGAATACCCCAAATAAGTTAATTGTCAACAAAGCGGACATGAAAGCAAAAAATCCATTGGATATAACGCACATGGCTATATATATATATATATATATAAATTAGAAATCAATTAAATAATTGAATCGATTAAATAATTTAATCAATGTTTGTAAAGAAAAGAAGGTAAAATGAAAATTACCCAGCACATAACGTGAACCGATCTTTCTCATGTTCGCAAAAAGTAAAACAAAAGTACAGTTCATTAATACATATCCGGCTAAAATAACAACAATATCTATGGTTTCAGCTTTCTGAAAATTAAATAATTTTATTAATATTTATTAATAATTTTTTTAATAAAATTGTTATTATAAAGAAAAAAACTAACAAACCTGAATTAAATCTTGAATATTCATAAAAAGACTACCAATGACAAAGGCTAACCAAGCGAAAGAACCTTTTTCAGCATGAGAAATTTGTCGTTTACCATTAAAGGCAAAAATTTTTTCAAAATTCAATTTCGCAACTTTATCTTCCCAAGCATCAGCAAGATTATTCATATTTGTGTTGAAAACATAATTTAAAACCACAGTAATACTTAAATTATCAAAATTTTCTATTTCACAATATTTGGAAGTATTTTGATTAAGAGAAGAAAAAGAAAAAGAAGAAGAAGAAGAAAAAGAAGAAGGGGAACAAGATGAAGAGTTCAAGAAATAAGAATTTAAATTAAAACATTTTGAACTGTCTTCATTTGATTTATAACATAAATCATCATTATAATAAAATTTAGATTTTCCATCTGTGACGAAAACTTCATTCTCAATTATCTCTTTAAATCTCATTATAGAATCCAATAACTTTTGATTTTTTAAATTTTTTAATCTATTTATCCCGTCATTGTTATCGTTATTGATGTTATTAAAATTGTCGTTAATATTTTCCATTACTAAACCTTCATCATTATTATCCAGTCGAATGTTAATAAAAATTTGCTTTAATTGAACTCTAGTAGCGTGAATATTAGCAAAATCACGTTTACCAATATTGACGAATTCATTAGAATTAGAATAAGAGATAACTTTTATGGGATCAATCTTTTGATAACTTTCAGTATTGAAAAATTCTGATTCCATTAATGACCGAAATAGTGAAGCATAGGAAAAGGAAGCGATTATAAGACAAAAAACTATCATTTCAATGGGATTACGGGAAGATTTGATTGCGGCCGAATGAAGGAAATTTTTTGCAAAGAGTAACATTTTTTTTTTTTGTTGTGTTTAAGATTTTGTGTTTTTGATTTTATATTTCTGGTCTTTTTCCTTTTTTTGTTATGTATTTTTGATTTTATGTTTTGATTTTATATTTTTGTTCTTTTTTTCCTTTTTTTGAGGAAGATAAGTTTATGAAAAGGTAAGTAAAATAATATAAAAATGCTATTTACAGGTTTTAAAGTTTTTTTGGGGGGGAATTTTAACGATTGTCTAAAATTTGATTCGTGAATTATATAAATGATATAATAATGTTAATTGTTTCAGAAAAGGTATTGTTTCAAATTTTACTAATATTATTATATTTTCATTGCTATTCTAGGAGAAAATTTTTTTGGTTTTATAAAATTTTATTCGGAAGAATAAGATGAATGCAATGTATTTATATATTTTGATCTCAAAAAGCAAATCTAGAAATTAAACAAACCCAAAAAAAAAAAAAAAAAAAAAAAAAAGTATTATATAATATAAAATAAATGATAATATATTAGTGATAATATTTAGGTCATACAAGTGATACAGTGATACATTCACATAGAAAATGAAAATGGCGCGAAAGGAAATTTGTTTATATCAAATTATTTTAAATTATAAATTATTATTATATTATTAAATTACAATTTGGGATTATTTTTACAGAATATATATATATGTTTTTTTTTTACTTTATAATAAACGGATTTTCCAATAATTATGACATTCCGTCATTTAGAATATTATTGTATGGGTATTTAATTTTTTATAATTGGTTAAAACTCCAAATGAAAATTTCAAATATGATTTTATTTTTTTAATGAATTCAACTAAAATAATCATAATAAGCTATAGAAAATGGAATTCATCCGTGTAAAAAAAAAAAAATAAATAAAATAATAATAAAATAATAATAAAATAATAATAAAATAATAACATAAATAATAATTTACCAAGAAAAACTTCATATGTTAATCATGGCATAGTTGTATAGATATATTGATTGTGATTCTTTAAAAAAAAATATAAATAATAAATAATTACAAAATTCGTTTGGATTTTTGCAAATAAGGAATTTAGATCTAATAGTACGAATTTACTTTATTTATAGATTTAAAATGTTAAAAATGTTAAATGTTAAAAATGAATACTAGTGTTATCTAAAGTAATAATAAGAAAAGAATATTAAAATAATAAATAATCTTTTTATTGTTTTTCGATGTGGCTAATTGACAATCAAGTAATACGCAATTTATACTCAATTTATATTCAATGTATACCCCAATGTATACTCAATGTATACTTAATATATATTCAATATATACTCTATTAGAGTATTAAGTAGACACGCGCACGTTGTCATCAATAAAAATTCTGGATTTTTATTAAAGTTAGATGGAAATTTTCTATGTAGAAATAAAATTTTTTCTTGTTCTCCTTAAAAATCTTGAAACAAACCATTGTGAATAACGAATAATTCCGATTATTAATTATTGTTAATCATGTTCGCCATCCCTTCATCTACGCTCGTAATAAAATGATAATCGCATTGACAACAAAAAACGTCAAATAAATTATGTAATATGTCACCTTGTCTGATTAGACGTTAAGTTTGATTATGATAACGTGAATTATTTATTAATAAAATATATAATATAATATAAATATAATAATAATTTTATCGATTGGCATTCCAAAACTTTAAAAATTTTACTATGATAGACATTCTCGAAAGCTAGTGATTTGTTGAATAACTGTAATACTGGATATCCAACAAATTCATTTTAATTGGATTTTCTATTATATGATTCTAAGAACCGTTAGGTACTTAGCATTTATGCTGTAATATAATTAATATATGCATAATGTGATAATTAATTTATGCATTTCATGCATATTATAAATTTTTATTGTTTTTTTTTCAAAAAAAAAAAAAAAAATTTCGGATCTTAAACACATTGTACAAAAAAGGGGCATGGCATCAAGTATATTGATGCCATGCATAATCAAGTATTCAAATGTAATAATAAAGTTATTTTAAAGTTATTTTAAAGTTTTACGTACATTTGAATTAATTCTTTTTAGTATTAGCACAAATATAAATAACTACGTAAAATATTCGTAAAGATTTAATAATATTTAATAGTTGATTTCTTTAATATAACTTTTGGTAGGGAAGATCAGCATAAGGGACTAATAATTGTTAAAATAGAATTACTAATTCGTATTTCCTTTAACGAAAGGTTCATCGTTTCCATTGGTTTTGAAAATCTTAATATTCATTTAATTCACTTTATTATTTATTTATTTATTTTTATTCTTCTTTGCGTTAGATTATATTATTTATTTTTTCTTTAAAGAACTATTGTTTTTATGTTCATACTAAAAAAAAAAATAATACTAACAGGACAATCATATTTAATGATGTATGAAAAAGGAAATAACTATATTTAATGAGGTATTTAAATGATGCACCAGTAATAATATCAAGAACCGATAATATTAATAATAATATTAATAATAATATTAATAATAATATTAATAATAATATTAATAATAATATTAATAATAATATTAGTAATAATAAAAATACATTAATTATTAAGTGAATATAATAACTATTATTTGACCTAAAATATTTCTTTGATCAAAATCACATTTTAGTTATTTTTATTATTTTTATTATCCACATTCAATCCTAATTTGTTTAATCTTGAATGTTATGATCAAATGATTTCATTTATTTTATGCAGTATATTTTATGTACGTATATAAATATTTATTAATGCATGTATCTAATTTTATATTTCTTATTTTTCTTATTGTTTCATTATTTATGTCAAAAAATATCAACAATCCAACGACACATGATTCCAAAATCTCGGATTCATTTTATCATTTCATCATTTTATCATTTTATCTTATAAAGATGTGAACTTATCCAAAAATTTAATTTTAACCACTATAAGTACTATTCATCATTCAAGTTTTTATTAAGATCTTAACATTAATATTCTATTATATTATATTGGAGAGAATATATTGCTAATCTTATTAAAACTTGAAAAAGTTATGATAAATTAATCGTTTATACCATCGTTTCTAACTCCGCGATCCGGATCATTCCGTCCCAATCCACATCTTATCTGATTAATCCATTCAATCCGCAGATTCTTCAATCACTTCAATCAGTAATTTTTGTATCTAAACTTTTAAAGTAGAGCATCATTATGTTATCACTAAATTAAAAAGGACAACGGTCATTAATTATTTATTAACAGATAATTGGATAATGCGTCGGATTGCTCTAGGCTATCTAACTCGTCATAATATGTATTTAAAATAAGATAAATTAACACGGAGAAAATATTTAACTTTTTTGGTTTTTAACATATTTAGGTCGAAAAATCCCCGGGAGAACTTGCCATTCTGTAATGATAAGACTGGGGGGTTTTCGCGTTATGCCCGAGCAGACTGGGCATTCCAATCCAGTCAGGTCGTCTTGCGGCAAACCCTAAAAAAAGAAAATTAAATAATAAAAATAATGATGATTATTGAGATTTAACATCCAAACTTTATTTTCAATTTAAAGAGTTTGTATGGCATCGATAATACAAACGAAATATAGAAGCGACATAAAAAATATACAATAAATTTTAATGTGTTTTCGTGTTTCGTCTAATAAATTTAATTTTTAATTTTGCGATTTACGTGAATATTATGTTTTTTATTTATACAATTTTTTGCTGAATGATAAGAAAATTATAATAAATGTAAATATGCAAATTATAATAAATAAAAGTAAACAATAATAATATTAATGAATAAAAATAAATAAAATATACAAAATAATATTAATAATTAATTTCAAAATTTTTACATATATTAATTGCTTTGATTTGATTTTTTTTTGCTGCATTTCTTAAATAACTGGTTCCTTTAAATTTATCTTGTTGAACACCTACACCTTTATAATATGCGATCCCAACATTATACATGGCATTTGCATAACCCTCATCAGCTGCCTTTGTTAGATATTTTAATGCTTCATTATAATTAGTTTTTACACCTTTCCCACTCCATAGGCAAGTTCCATACCAATATTGAGCTTCAATGTTTCCACTATCAGCTGATTCTTTAAAAAGTTGAGCTGCTTTTATAAGATTTTCTTCCTTATCATTGTATAATTCTTTAATTTCAGATTGATCATAATTAAAATGATAATAACCAACCCAAAATTTTGCATTCATATCTCCTTTATCGGCATGCTCGTAAAAGCATTTCCAGGCCACCTCCTTATTGCCTTTTTTATGTTCATCAATTGCTTCCTGAACGTTCATATATCCTGGAATATTAATTGGAGTATTAATATCTAATATTTCATTATCTAAATCATCTATTTCACTTTCTATTGAACATCTTTGTGGATTTTTATATTCATATAAATTATTAAATATTTCTGAAAACGGTGGACGTTTCTTCGGTATATAACACAAAGCTAAAAAAAAAAATTACATATTAAATTATTAAATTATTAAATTATTAAATTATTAAATTATTAAATTATTAAATTATTAAATTATTAAATTATTAGATGCTATAATTTATAGTGAATATAACTCACCTTTAATTACTACATTTTTCCATATTTCGGGTACTTCGCTGGATAATGGTTCAAAATTTGATTTAATTATACGATCCCGTATAGTTTGAAAGTCTTTTTCATTAGAAAATGGAATTTTTTGTTCTGCTATTTCCCACAAGAGTGCACCAAAACTGTATATTTCACATTTAACATCAAAATCCCACTTATCACCATACAGTAATTTTTCAGGTGACATATATCTAATAATTTCGGTATTCGGTTGAATATTTCTCGTAATTTCGGTAAATCTTTGATTTAATCCAAAATGGGCAATTTTAGCGTTGTGATTTTTATCAACTAAAATATTAGCCCCTCGTAAATCATAATGAAAAATCTAAAAAAAAAAAGGAATTATTTTATTAAATTTTTAAATAAAAAAAAAATTGATTTTTTTTTTTTTAAAAAAAAAAGTTACCTTAACAGCATTTAAATAAGAAAGTCCTCGACAAATGTCCAATGCAAAATCAAATTTTCTATCCCATGAAATATTTGGATATTTTGAATAATATTCTATTAAATTTCCATTATCCATCCATTCATTTATTAAAAAATATTTAAATCCATCCTTCAAAATACCATAAAATTTAATTATATGATTTGAATCTCTCAAATATTCCAAAATTTTCACTTGATAATTAATGTCTTTCTCTATTTTCTCTATTTCTTTTTCATCATTTATATATTCTACTTGACCAATTTTCTCTTTAGTATTTTTAATCTGGTTACTTTTAATATAGTTAATTGTAAATTCCTTGAATGCCACTTTTTCTCCTGAATGTTTATTTAACCTTTTGGAAATCTTTTTTCCTGGTTCAATTTCTTCATATATATTTTTATCTATGAATGGTAAAGTTCTAAATGAATATACATTTAACTTTCTTTGTTGTTTTTGAAAATCAAAATTCATTTCCAAGATTTGTGGAATTTTTTCCGAAACATTTTTATTTGTTGAATCCGTGATACCACCTTTAATATGTTCGAAAAACTGAAAATAAAAGGTGAATTAATTTAAAAAATAAAAATAAAAGATGAATAAAAGATAATTTGAATTTATAATAAAATAGTAAGATGATACCTTTTTAAGATGCCTTTCATCATTTGCGATTATTTTTTCTTCATTTTTTGCATCAAAATTATATTTTATAATAAATGTAAATGAGGTTTGTAATGATCGCATATATTCGTCAAATTCAGTAGAAAGTTCTTTATACATTTGTCCAATTGAATTTTCTTTAAGATATTGTCTTATTCTCCCTAATTGAGATATTCCTGCAAGGTAATTTTTTATATTTTGTATACAATCTATAAATTCATTGAGAATTTGAATATATTCTTTTGTGAAAATGTTATCATTTTTTCTTCTTTGTTCTAAAGTTTTTACAAAACACATCGCAGCATTAACTCTGGAAATAAAAGAATAACAAATTTCTCTATTGTGTTCGGCTTTACAGTACAAATAAGAAATTTCATTTTCAAATTTAAAAAATTTTGAAACCAACTCTCCATATGGAACAGAATATGTAACTGTTTTAAAGAAATAAAAAGATTGTTGTAAAAATTCTTTAGTGTATATATTAGACACTATTTCATCAAAATTCATAGCATTTATATATATATCCTTATTATCCTCAAAACTTGACTCATGAATATTATTGTTTACGTTTTCTTCTAATACTGTTACTCGCTTTTGAAGAAAACGATTAATGTTGCCTTTATTAGAACGTTTGATTCCTTGATTCCTTTGAAAAAACGGACAAAACCAAGTCATATTTGAATTCATTTATTTATTAAAAAGCTGTGTACGGAAGTTTTTTTTTTTATAAAAAAAAATAAATGGTTTGAGAAACGGCGCTTTTTATATTGTGAGAGACATATGGTTTATTATTATAGAATTGTTCCAGAATATTATTCATCAATTTAGAAAATTCTATAGAATACATCATTTAAAATTTCCAAATTCGAAATTCGATATAGAAAAAATGGAAACTACTAATTTCTTTATTGATAAATTAAAACAATCCCAAAAGAAAATAGTAATAAAAAGTTAGTCTAAAATATAAATTAATTTTTTAATTTTTTGAGGGATAGAAATTTTATGCAAAAATAACAAAAATCTTAACAGAAATTAAATGGTTTGATAATAATTCATAGAATTCCTTTAAAGAATGGATCAAAGAATCCATGCTGGAAATTATGATTCCGGTCATATTATTATGGATTCTTCTATGAATACTTTTTTAGAAATAAACGAATAAACATGCAGAAATTCCTTCGTCATAATTTCTATAATTTCTTTGGTTAAAAAATCCGGAGAATATTATTGATTATTCTCCGAAACTTATCATATGATCTAAACAAAATTTATACAAATAAATGTCCTTCCCACGATTTTTTATATTATCACCACCGCTAACGAGGTGTTAAAAATTTTCTTTTTGTAGTTGGTAAAGTAAGTAATAATATTTATAATTCAAAATAATAAATTAAGGAAAAGACATGAATAATATAAATGCCTATTTCATAAATATAACAGCGAATGTATCATTTCTAACGCGAATTTAATGCGAATATAATTGTATATAATATATCATGAATATTATGTTTACGTTTATTTGAAATTTTTTTACACGAATAAAACTAGTTTTGAAAGATGTCAAATGCACCTCTTCTCGCCTCTGCTCTAAGTGCAGTGACCAGTTATACCGTTGTGTCCCATGACGAGTATTTGAGAAGAAAAGATGATCTTTCTTTATTGTTTCAACAGTTAAATTCAGATGCTCTTCATCAATCTCATTTAGTAGGTGGAATAGTGGCAACTGATGAGAACGATTTGGTTGAAGTTGAAAAATTTGATGATGATGAAAATACTGGAAATCCAATGCAAATGTGAAATATTGATCCAATTTTTTTTTTTTTTTTTTTACCTTTTAAAGTTTTGAATTCCTTTTTATTTATTTATTTTTTTTATTTACAGTTTTGTCAAAACCTTGACTGGTAAAACTTTAATCGTCGATGTCACTTCGAAAACTACAATTAACAAACTCAAGCATAAAGTCCAGAAATTGGATAATATTCCAGTAGATCAGCAACGTATTATTTTTGCAGGAAAACAACTTGAAGACTCACGCCATCTCGTTGACTATAACATTACTCGTGATGCTACAATTCATCTTGTTCTTCGTCTTCGTGGTGGTGGTGGTAAAATGAATTATTATCTTAGTCCAGAAAATCTTGATCCCGGTTATGATTTCGATTTTACAAATGTTGTTGATACAGGAGTTACCTTTATGAGAGGAGAATTTGAGTATCGTCGCCCTTGTGGTTGGAAACGAATTGCATTAAAAGTACTTAATAAATATGGAAATGATAATAAATGGCTTGGAAGTCCAAGCCCTCACTTCCGTTATGTATCAGATCCTAATGAATGGCCAGTTTCTTATCATGGAACTAGTAAATATAAAGGAAAAAGTATGGCAGATGATGGATTAATTTTCAGTAAAGATCAGGATGTGAAATTCCCTTACTCTCAAGGAATCTATAGTACTCCTGATATCGATTTAGCTTCACTTTACGCTGAAACATTTACATATAACGATACTAAATATAAAGTCGTTTTCCAAAATCGCGTAAACCCAGAAACTTTGTCTATTCTCAATACTTGCGGTGGAAACTATTGGATTAACCCGAGAGGATGCGATATACGTCCTTATGGAATTTTGTAAGTTATTCATTTTTAACAAATTATTATTTTATAAATTATTAATCATAATTTGTATAAATTTCTACAGGATTAAAAAAGCATAAAGGTTTGGAATTCTTTTGGGAGCGAACAGATAATAAATAAATTACGAACGATATTTCTTGGTTATTTTTTTTTTAAATATATTTATAACATATTTATATTTCATTTTTATCTTGGGAAAACTTTTTTCAGTTTTGAATTTTTTGTAAATGGCCTTTTTTTTTTCTTACTTCAGTGATAGACATCAGTTTAAACATTAAAGAATTTAGAAAGCTTGTGCAGATATAATTTTCAATGTGTCTTTGGGTCTGAGAGTAAATAAAAGAAAGTGTTCATTCAAATAAATTATTAAAAATTCCAAATATAAATTGATTTAATCATAAATTAAAGGAGATTATTATTATTATTTGACATTTTAACTATAATTATAGAATAATATAAAGAAAATAAAATAAAATAAAAATAAAAAAAATAAAATAAAATAAATTCAATACCTATCATCAGAATCACAATCAACAAGTCCCATTCGCTTAAGTACATTTATGCCATGACTTACTCTACCAAATATTGTATGCTTTCCTAAATAATTTTTTAAATAATTTTATAAATAAATAAATCATTTTACTACTTTGAAAGAAATAATAATTTAAATAATATCTTTTACCATCTAACCATGGAGTTGGAGCTAATGTTATGAAAAACTAAATGATAAATAGTTTGGTGAATATGAAAGAAAACAAGAAATAATAATAATAATAATAATAATAATAATAATAATAATTTACCTGACTTCCATTAGTATTTGGACCAGAATTAGCCATACTTAAAATTCCTGCACCTGTATGCTTTAATTCTGGACGAATCTCATCTTCGAATTTCTCACTATTTTTTACAATATATATATATATGATATTTAAAATAATTTGATCTAATTAAAATATTAAGAATGATATTTATTAATTACCCGTAGATTGATGCTCCACCCCGACCAGTTCCAGTTGGATCCCCGCCTTGCACCATAAAATTCTAATGAAAGAAAGTGAAGAAAAAGCATAAACAAATGAAGGTATAAAAGATATGAAAGATATAAGACATATGAACATATGAAAGTAGTGAAATTTTTACCGGAATTATCCTATGAAACTTTATTTAAAAAAATATATTTATATTAAATTTTTGAATTTTGAATTTTACAAATTTTACATAATATACAAATTGAAATTTTCTTTACTCACAATAATATTATTGTAATATCCTTGTTTCGACTGATTATTGAAAATTATTATTTTATTTATTTATATATGTATAATAAGAATAAATATTTCAAAAAAAAAAAAAAAAAATCTCACCAACTCATAAAAATTTTTACACGTTTTAGGTGCGTGGTCCCAATATAATTCAAAAGTAATTTGTCCCTAAGTAATGACTAATTGGTTATAAGGTTTTGATAAAATATATTAATAACATTAGGATTAAATTTACCATAGAAGTATTGAATACAACTGATCCTGACATTTTCATTAAGAGAAATAAAAGAAAAAGTTTTTTGTGCGTGATGCATTTGAAATTATATTTTATAATCAATTCTCTCGTAAATATTATTTGTGCTACTAGGATGATCATAGCTTCTAAATTGTCATTATCACACGTCTAAAATTTATATATTTTTCTCGCAACATTTATATCTCCATTATATCTCTATTTCAAAAAGTTCTGGTTGTTTCCATATAACATTTAAAAATGTCTAAAAAAAATAATTAAATAAATAAAAATGATAAAAAATTCATCAAAAAATAAAAATTTAGTGACACATCTTTGCTTCAACTTGTGAAAAAGTGCATGGAGGCATGTCTACAAGATGCAAAAACGGGAATTTATCAATTTATCATTGCCAGTATATTACTAATGATAGTAAATTCCGTAACAGATCTTGCTATCGGCTATCAACAAGAAGGATGTGCCCTTTATTTAAAAAGACGTCAACATGCCCTTATAAACAATGTGGTAAACGAAGTATAACTTTGTAATTTGCACGTAGAAAAATGCCATGCTAAAGCTCATTATCATTAAAAAAAGCTGGCCAAAATACTATAGGAACGGGTAAACTCCAGAGTCTTTGGCTCGGATCCTTAATAAAACTAAAATGTCTGACACGAGCAAAAGTTGTCCCTAGGAAAAAAATTTAGCTAAGGGAAACTGAGGCCAGTAATTAAGTAGTGACCCTAGTTGTCTTAGCAAAATCTTGAGTTTTTTTACTTTTATTTTTCTTTATCTATCAAGTATAATATATGTAGTATATAGGATATGTAATACATAAGTCCGAGCTATGGAAAACTAGGGACGAGGTAAGTCGATATACTTTGTCATGACTTCTTTGATTTGTTTTGACAATTCTGGATCGCATAAGCAACTGAAATAGAATTACGACTGGATGTAATTAAAATTATTTCGACAAAAAAATTCCTGGATAACAATTGAAAAGTATATATATTTTATTATCATCATACTTTATGTATAAAGCGAAAATATACCATCATATAATTATACAGTTTTGTTGAAATCACATTACAAAAAATTAAATATAACAAATTTCTAACTTTTAAATTGAACATTCTCTGATCAGTTAAGACCAAAATAGACTTTTTACTTATTAACATAATTCTAGGATCTGAAATTTCAAGAACTTAAATTTTATCTAAAATATTAAAAATGTGATACTATGAAAAAAAAAAGTATCAATCATGTTATCGCGGCGTGGGTATTAGAAAAAAATATTGGCTAGTTAAAAGATTAAATTATTCTCTTTTCAATGGTTATATTTATTTGTTTTTAATATTGATAAATAAAGAGATATGAATCATAACGAAAAATTTAGCATAGTGTTATATTATCTCGAGTCGACAAAGTCCACCCTCACAAAAAGAAAACCGAATCGGATTTCTTTGCAAGTTTACATTTCGTTCATACAAATTAAATATTTATTTTTAAAATATATATATATATATATATATACCAAAAATTTTTATGGAAAATTTTGAAATTTTTATTCTGTTATGAAAATTATTAATCTTATTTCATTTTTTCGAACTTGTTTACCTTCTTGTGATGTGCTGCGTAACTCGCATGAATAGCAGAATCCCATAAATTTTTCAAATTTCTATAGTTTATTATATTTAAGGAATACTCCTACATATACTACTGGAGTATCTCCCTCCATTATTAGAGAGAGTCAGAGTTATCTCACTCTGCCCAATAATAGAGAGTCAGAGCTATCTCGCTCTGCCCAAAAATAGAGAATCCGAGGTGTCTCTCTCGGGTAAAAAAGGAGCCTGAGGTGCCTCTCTCAGTAAAAAATGCAGAGCCCCTGCTTGCACGCTTCCTTTTATACTTTTTTTTTAAATTATAATCACTTTATGGTAGATAGCGAAAATATTGAAAAAAGGGATAAATTCTATTTTTATTTTTATTGGAATTCCCTGTGATATATGTAAGTAATCAATAGATAAACGCGGGCAATCGGAAAGAACTAAAATAGGCTTAAGTTACAGACTACAATAATTGTAGTACAATTCCAATAATCGCAAAAAAAAAAAAGATTTATTGAAATCATTTTAGCACATCAGAAATTACACACACTACTATTTGAGATTGTATTGGTTTTGATAAGATGTATAATAAGGTTCTATTACAAAATATAAACATTACAAATTCGAGTGAATACAAAAAAAAAAATAAATGTCGTTTTTTGCCATGTTTTCGTGAAAATGATTTATCGTACGATCTTCTAAAGATTTAATCGACTGAGTTTGATACTTGTTAAAATTAATAAAAAATGAAGTATTTAAAAAACCACTTAATTTATTCATATAAAATTTATCTTTCATTGTTACAATGCAATTTAAAGATACATACATGAGAAATTTAAAAATGTAAAAATAAACAATAAAAGAATAAGCAAAAATAATAATAAATTATAAACAAATATTTCTATGTAAAATTGTTCGTTTTCTTTCGTTCATTTCCATTTTTTCAATTCATCCTTTTTGATATATAACATGGAGCAAAGATATAAGGTTTATTTTTAACATTTGCCGAGAATACCATAGGATAAGAATTTGTCCAAGTACCATTAGTAGTTTTAGGTCTATCTTTCCGCCATAATGTAATTCTTGAATAAACCAATGTCGGGTCTTTAAATTATGTGTGTAAATAAGAGGTTTTACCGAAAATTTGAAAAGGGGTTAAATCGTGAAAACTACTTTTTAAATTTCCTCTGGAAGTTTCTTCTTCCATTATACCATCATCTAATATTTCATTTATCCACCAGGTTTTCTTCATAGTATTATACATATATAAATAATTTTTATCTTCGATTCCAAAATGAAATGATACTTAATGACAAATTCCATCACACTCTCCAATAATTCTTGTATATACCAATGATTTGTATCAGTACTATGACCATAATAATAAGTGTGATCATTAATATTAAATGGTAGTACGACTTTATAAGAATCCGTTTTTTTTCCATCTCCCTGACACACAGCTATCCCTTTCATCATGTTAGAAGAAAGATCGTTTCTTTGTTTTTCCATCGCATCTATTTGATGAATATAAGTAAACGACAAGGCTATGATCACCATAACGCAAATAAAAAAAAAGATAAACGAAACGATGCTTCATGTTTACAGCAAAGAATTTTAAAAGTATTGTAATAGATGGTTTGGTTTATACTTGTTTATGAAGAATTGGAAGTTGATCTCGGCGATACCGTTTAGTTATTCTGGTTCGTTTTCTTCAATGAGGGATACATATATACTCCAAGTAGTTTCACATGTAACGCAATAATTAACTAGACAATGCAAGTATAGTTTCAGAAACTTCGTAAAATAGAAAGCAAAAAAGAAATCGCATGATTATCCAAATTTTTTTTATTGTTAGATCGTAAAAAATATAGAAGTTGTAATTTTACTTCTAGAAGAGCAAATTAAATAAAGTAAGGTAAGTAAACTACACATAAAACTTGCCACATATCAAGACACTTCGTGCAATATGTACCTTGCTCACATGTGTCCAACTCTAAGAGACTAGCCACTTACCAATACGATCAAATTCGATCTTAGATTTTATCATATATTAATCATAGTTCAAACTTTAAATAGACCTTTTTTAACCTTCAAACTACAAGTTTTACTTTATATTTATTAAATTATTTACTTTTCAATATTTTACTCTCGAAACTACTCATTATTAAGATCCTTTTCAATATCGAGTTTCCAAACTTTGCAGAAAGATGGAACTCATAAAGCTTCATAAATATTATTTGTATGACCATATCTTTAAAATATTTAATTATTTTGTCTTTTTGCTATTCCTCCTCAAACAAAAATACGCAATTACTCTAATTATGATAATAAATCCAAACATAGCCATTAAATGTTCGTACCACTTTAATGTATTCAATCCTAATAATTCTATTACTGAATTTCCTGATACGTATTTATCATTAACATCATCAGCGTGAAGACATTCTAAATAAGAACTTGCTGGTCCTACAATGTTACATTTAAATCTTGCTAACGGCGACGTGAATTGAATATGCATCAATAACGAGTATCCATAATATGAAAATGACTAATAATAATTTTTTTTAAAAAAATTAAATATTTAAATTAAATAATTAAATTAATTAAATTAAATTAAATTTGAAATCAATTTACCAAGTATTTCATCCAAGATAATCCTTCTGGTAAACTTTGAACATAAAATCCACCTAACAACATTGTTGTGAGCATAAATACCGTTGCAATTACTATATTAAAGAAAATTGAAAATTATAAAGATAAGTTAAAAATATTTAATAATTTATCAATAATATAATATTTAAAATGAAAAAAAAAATAAAAAAAATAAAAAAAAATTTACTTAAAGCCTTTTGCACATTCAAAAATGCTGCACCAAAAAGATATCCAAAACTTTGAGCTATCAAACTTGAAACTATTATCGAACCCTTTTCGTATTATTATAAAAGTATTACAAAATAATATTATTATATAAATTAACGTTTTAATGACGTTATAATGATAATAATGATAATACATACCAAATATGCAAAAAATGATCCAACATTTGGTATTAATCCACTAACCCAATATACAATGGTCACGTAAAATATCGGATGAATAATGGCAAGAATTAATTCAGCCGATTGTTTTGACAAAAAGTAAGCTAATAATCGGTAGGAACGTGACTGACGCTCTTTCTTCAAAACTTCCAAGTCTAATGGAAATGATGTTATTGTGTTTATCATGGGATGGAATGACCAAAAAGTGCATCTGTGTGTGTTTAAAATTATTATTTGATGTTATTTTAATGTCACTTAATTTATTTAATTTTAATTTTAATATTATTTAATGTTATTTACTTACGTAAAAAAGATTGATCCATACCGATCCACAATATCTTTTTCGTCGTAGGGTAATTGAAACCAAACCAAACAACAAAAAAATGCTAAACTAAATGTTTGTATTAAATCTAACTTTGATAATATAACTTTACTACGTTGTTTAAATGATCTTTCGGTGAGAATAATAAATTGTTGTAAAAAGGTTGCCTCCCATTTATGTTTAATCTTTAATGGGCCAGATTGTATTATATCATCAGTTTCATCTGTTAGTATTATTGATGGGATATCACGAATTCGATTCGAATATTTATGGACAACTTTTTCACCCGTGATATCAGATTCCAAATGACGCATATAAGCCTGGATTAATTTTTGTTTGGACTTTGGATCATTTAAAAGTTCCACTAAATTAATATTTAAATTATTTGTTTATATTATTATTTAAATTATTATTAAATTATTTAACATCACTTTAATAAAGAAAAAAGAATATTTACATATATAATCAGCAGGATTAAAATTAGGATGACATTTGTACCCTTGAGTAGTCAAATAATCCACCAAATCTGCTCTTTCACCATAGTATACCACGTGACCATCAGCCATAAGGAGTAGCTTGTCGAATAATTCAAATACTTGTGATGATGGTTGATGAATTACCATCACGATTGTTTTGTGTTGTTCTTTCGCGAATCCTTTCAAAATATTACCTAATTCTAGAGCAAGTGATGAATCTAAAATAATAATATATATTTTAAAAATACTGAAAATTTATAGTCACGTGAATTAATAGGGAAATCGCGAAAATAATAATAATAATAATAATAATACCAAGTCCAGAAGTTGGTTCGTCCAATAAAATGACACTTGGATCAGTTAATAGTTCACAGGCGATGCTAACACGTTTTTTCTCACCACCAGATACTCCTCTAACCCTATTATCACCAATTTTTGTATCTGCACATTTAGATAAATTCAACAATTGAATAGTGTTTTCCACCTGTTTTAATTTTTCACTTCTGGACATTTCACGTGGAAGACGTAGTCGAGCCTTAAAAATTAAAAATAAATTTTTTAATAATTTTTAAAAAAAAAAATTTTTTTTAACTAGCTTTCTTATCAATCGAAAAATTAAATACCGTAAAGGAAAGAGTTTCTCTAACAGTCAATTGTGGGAAAAAAATGTCATTTTGAGAACAATAAGCCACAAATCTTTTTGTTTCTTTAATAATTCTATTACCATTTAAGTTTATCGTTCCAGAAACTCCTTGCTTTCCCACACGATTACCCAAAATGTTTAATAAAGTCGTCTTTCCGCACCCTGAAGGACCCATTATTGCAAGAATTTCGCCTACAGTAATAATAATATTATTATTAATATTAATAATAATATTATTATTATTTGTTATTGTTATTATTCATTTACTTTAGAAGACAAAAAAAAAATTTATTTGAATAGTAGTAATTCATTTACCAGGATTAGCACAACCATGAATATTTTGAATGATTTGAATAAATTTTTTATTATCAATTTTTCCAATTTCAACATCTAATTGTTTATCTTTTCTTGAAAATAAATTTGTAAATTTATTCCACCAAGATTCACTATTTGATTGTTTCTTTTTAAGTATCGAATAATTTACACCATGGAATTCTAGCCACACAGGATTTTTTTTTGAGGATGAAGTGCTAACAGAGCTTTGTATTATTTTATTCCGTCTCTTTGAAATTTCGTCGGAAAAATCACCTTCGTGCAACTGATAACATTTTATGTTTAATAATAATGATAAATAAATAATGATAAATGATGATAAATAATATTAAATAATAATAGAAATAATAAAATATTTTACCTTTTCTTGTATAGAAACGACTTTTTCAATATTAATCTCGTGATCAATATGATCCATATTATTCTGCATTTAATATAAAAATCTATGGATTTACACTTTATAATTTATAATTTAATATTTTTAATTGAAATTTCTCTAATTTTTTTAATTAAAATTTCTCTAATTTTTTTCAATTTAAAAAAGAAGAAAAAAAAACTAAAATTAGAGACAACGTAAAAAGGAATACAGTGACTATTTATACATTATTAAAATCATATATTAAAATATTTTAATATCAAGTTTTTTTATCATCAAAAATTTTTATCATCTAAGAAAATTCTTAAAATTCTTAATATGGACAATATTAACAGACAATATCAACAATGAAATACCATAAATGATAAAATAATAAAATATGTATAAATAATATGATATTAATAATATAAATAATATAAAATATTAATAATATAAATTATATTATTATGTAAGCAAATAAAGAAGAATGAATTAATGAATTAATAAATTGAGATTATATTTTAATATCAAAAATTCGCGTCATTCTAAATATATGCATTATGATTTTTCATTATATTGAAATAAACTTTAAAAATCAACGTTCAAGATTCAATTCGATAAGAGCATAAATAATATTGCAACTGTATCACAAATTTGAACCTCAAATGGCATAGTTTAAATAATAAATTAAGGAGGAAAACCTAAAAAGGAAAGTTTTAAATTAATATATATTGGATGAAAAAACATCTTTCTATTAAAAATGATTCAAAATGACTCTAATTTGGTAAATGATTGAGATTAAACTCTACACAATAGAAATTAGCTAATCAAAAAAAATCTAATTATTAAATTTTATTTCGGGAAGTTTGGCAATGATGTCAACTTTCCCATTATTAATCAATAAACTGCGTATTAGTATATAATTGACGCAGTTAACGCGGGAAAAGATATATCCTGGTAAACAATCAAATTACAAGCATTGACATAATTTATCAATATGAAATAGTTATGTTGTTAGTGCATTTTAATGATTTTATCATATTTAGTAATTACCTGGCTTTATATAAAACGCAGAAAAAGCATTTATAAACATCATTCACATCTTTACATCAAATAATCCAATAATATCAAAAAAAAAAAAAGAGAAAAAAAATTTTTGAATAAAAAAATCAAAATAACTTTCTGAAGAAGTATTTAATTGTTATGGCTATTATAATAATTTAATATAATTTAGTATACATGGGGAGAAAAAAGAACAGTTAAATATTAAATAACAACCTCATAATTATTCGACTATACAAATTAGACGAAACCCTAATCAGGTGAAATTATGAAAAGGTTCAGTTCCAAATATTAAATCTAATTATTAAAATTTATTACGGGAAGTTTGTCTATGATGTCAATCCAATAAACTGCGTAATTTACACAGTTACAATGAACAATGGCATTGACATTTATCAATATGAAGTTGTTATTATGCATTTTTATATTTAGTAATTATTGACCTGGGTTTATATAAAAACAAAAATGATAATAAGGTTCATTTCCAAATATTAAATTTAATTATTAAAATTATTTCGTCAAGATGTCAATCCAATTAACTGCGTATTAGATATTTTTAATATGTAATCGACGCAGTTTACCCGGGAAAAATTTGCATAATTATTTATCAATATGAAATAGTTAGTTATTAGTGCATTTTTATGATTTTATATTTAGTAATTATTGACCTGGCTTTATATAATACAAAAAAAAAAAAAAATAAATAGGAAATCGGAGTTTATATAATTATATAAAACAAACTTACACAATAAAAACTTTGATTATTATTTTTTTTTTTTTATTGAAAAAATTTTCTAACCCAATAATGGCAGCAAAAAATCTATAACATCATTCACATCTTTACATCAAATAATCCAATAATATTAAAAATAGAAAAAAAATTTTTTTTTTGAGTAAAAATCTAACGTTTTTATGTTAAAATAAAAAATAAAAATAAATAAATAAATAAACAAAAAATAACCTTCTGAAGAAATATTTAATTGTTACGGCTATTATAATATTTAATATAATTTAGTATACATGTGGAGAAAAAAGAACAGTTAAATATTAAATAACCTCATAATTATTCGACTATATACAAATTGGATGAAACCGTAATCATGTGAAATTATGAAATGATAATAAGGTTCAGTTCCAAAAATTTGTCATTTTTTGAAATATTAATCTTATTGTTTATAAGTTGTATTGTCTTTAATACAATCCTTTTCAAAAGAAAGTAATCTACCCAATAATAAATAGTAAATAAAGTTAGCCATTATATTTTAGGGTAATATTTTTTTAGGGTAATAATATTTTTTTAGAATATATTTTTTTAGTATATATTTTAGTATAAATTTTTAGGATATGATTTAAAAAATAAAAATTTTTTAGGAATATATTTTTAAAGGATGCATGATATTTGAGATTATTGTCTATCTGAATGTTTTTTAATCCGAAAAAAAAGGTCATTCATCAGATGAGCAGAAACACGTAACGAACCACTCTTTTTTTCGTTAATGATTTCTTAACTGATTTGTAAATTTCGGCAAAAATTACTCAAATCACACAAACTTCCCCCACACTTCATTATAATTTCTTACGCACTTAGGTATTATTATTCCCTTCGTTTCCTGCCGTAATTCGTCTCTGTTGTTCTTCCCTTTGCTGATCTTGCCAGCGATGTTGCTTAGCAATATCATGAATTTTAAATCCAAATATTCTAGGTACGTATCGTTCATTATTTTTAGGTGGAAGCAAATGTGGATAAACTTGGAAAAGCATATGAGGAAATGTAGATCCGTAGTATGCTCCATCAATACTGGCATGTCGTGTGGATTTAGGATTATAAATATCTTCGCAACGAGGACAGTACAATTTTACTGACTTGGTATAAGGCTGATCTGAAAGGCCAACTGGTAAGAGTGGTTGATTGTGACATAAAACACGTGGACAACGACCAAAGTCTGCTTTTTTGTATTTATCAAGCTGATAATCAAAAAAAAAAATGAAAGTTGGTTAATATATTATTGATTATTATTGATTAATAATGAGCGATTAAGGAATTTCAATAATAATTTTTTTTTCCTTCTTAAGAAATTACTAAATATTATTTATTTATTAAGGATTAAAAAAATCATGTATTTTAGATTTATTTATCTAATTTCATAACTTACCATTTTCGCCAATCCTCGACTTGTGATAATAAATCTCGCGTGAATTAAACCATATAAATGACGTGCTGATTTTTCAACTGCTTCACGCATCTCATCATCAAGTTCTTCTTCTACATAAAAATGAAATAAATAATCAGTACACATGAATATACTACTTTTAATTGATATTGCTTTAGATCTCTAACCCAATAAAATATAAGGAATATTATATACCCAATGAATCAGTTATCAAATCAAGCGCTTGAACGTAATGCTGAACTTCAGAATTCAATCCTGTTAAATTAAATCGATCAAGTATATATTCTTCATCAACTTCACAGAAATACTCGTTTCCTTTAGTGGACAAAAACCAATCGATCCAGTATTTTGTATAATCACTATCTGAGCCGCTTGTGAGATCTTCCACTGAAAAAAAAAAAAAAGTAAAAAACTTAAACTTTAGGATTGAATGAAATCAATTTTTAATATAATAAAATATGTTACAAACTTTCCACGTCCCAGTTCAAGTCCTGTCCTTGAACGTCGTCAATTTCTTCGTCGTCGTCGATGACGATCGGATTTCGGGTCGAATTTTCCAAAGTATCTAAGTGCAAAATTCTTTTTTACTTATCGTAAATAATATTTCCTTAATAACCAAAGACAAAGGTTGAACACGATGTTAATTTGGAGAAACGTTTTAATAAAGATTTATGATGCATAAACTGAGTAACTGGTGATTATTCGAACTGCCGGTTACTATGAATTCTTTTTTCTGAACCCGGCAGTAAAATTCACCAATAGATAATCATAAAAAAAAAATTTTTTTCTTATTCCAATCCATCAATTGCGTTAATTGCGTTGATAAAAGTATATTATGGTGGGTAATTTATTTAGTTTTTATAGTTTTCTAAAATTTAAATTTTCTAAGATCGCATTTTGTTATTAGTCTCACCGAAAGTTTGAAGCACCACGTCATGGCTCTTTGGGTTTTCTGCCGCGTAAACGTGCACGAAGACACCGTGGTAAGGTCAAGTCTTTTCCAAAAGATGATCCCAGTCAAAAAGTGCATCCAACAGCTTTTCTTGGATATAAGGCGGGCATGACCCATGTAGTTCGCGATTTAGATAGGCCAGGCTCCAGTAAGCAAGGATTTTTAATTTCTTGATCATTTATTGTCTTAGAATGATATGTCTAAAAAAAAATTTTTTTTTCTTTTTTTTTAAATAGAAATGCATAAGAAAGAGGTAGTTGAGGCTGTTACAGTGATTGAAACACCACCCATGATAGTTGTTGGTGTTGTAGGTTATGTCGAAACACCTCGTGGTCTTCGTAGTTTAACCACCGTTTGGGCCGAACATTTAAATGAAGAATTAATACGTCGTTTTTATAAGAATTGGTATCGTTCGAAGAAAAAGGCATTCACGAAGTATGCCAAAAAACATGCTGATGGAGCTAAAGACATAAATAGAGAACTTGCACGCATTTCTAAGTACTGTCAAGTTGTTCGTATATTGGTCCATACTCAAATTAGAAGAGTGAAAATAGGTCAAAAAAAAGCTCATCTAATGGAAATTCAACTCAACGGTGGAACTATTCAGGAGAAAGTTGAATGGGCTAAAAGTCATTTTGAAAAGGAAATTAATATTGACTCTGTATTTGAACAAGATGATATGGTTGATATTATTGGTGTTACTAAGGGTAAAGGATTTGAAGGTGTAACGCATCGATGGGGAACTAAAAAACTTCCTCGTAAAACACATAAAGGTTTACGTAAAGTCGCTTGTATCGGTAAGTTTGATATAAAGTTATTAAAGTTTTTAAAGTTTTAAAATTAGATATTTTCAAAATTTCAAATCCATTTTTGATTACATAAAATTATTTGAATATTTGAATAGGTGCTTGGCATCCTTCAAGGTAATTATAATTTTTTAAAAATAGAACATTTGAACGTAAAAATTTAATAATGGTAATAAATAAATTTGATTTTAAAAATAGAGTAATGTATTCAGTTCCGCGTGCTGGACAAAACGGATATCATCACCGGACAGAAGTGAACAAGAAAATCTACCGAATTGGTAAAGGAGATGACAAGACCAGCGCCTCAACTGAATATGATCTTACAACAAAAAGAATCACTCCATTGGGTGGATTTCCTCATTACGGTATTGTGAACGAAGACTTGTAAGTTATAAAGATCTTGTCTAAATTTATGCTAACATTTAGTCCGTAAACTTGTATACACAATATATTCAATATATTCAACATTTTTCAATTTTTGTATTTTTAAATAGTGTTATGATCAAGGGCTCATGTGTTGGCGTTAAAAAACGGGTTCTTACCTTAAGAAAATCACTTATTACTCACAGCAAACGATCTGCTTTGGAAAAGATTTCTCTCAAGGTACATTGAATTAAATTAATTCTCATATTTTATTATTAAAAAAAAAAAAAAGACTTAAATACTATATTAAAAGTTTTTAATTTTTTTTAATTTAATAAAAAAAATGCAGTTTATCGATACGAGTTCCAAATTTGGTCACGGAAGATTTCAGACCGCAGAAGAAAAACGCGCGTTCCTTGGAACTCTTAAGAAAGATCTTCAAGCATGATTTATTTATTCGTGTTGATCAGATCATAAATGAAATGACCACTGCAATAATAAATAAATTAAAATAATTGCATCTTTATTATTTATTGTATTCTTTAAAAAAAATATTATTGTGATATGTATTTGTGCACAGTCACATGATAAAACAAAATTTATATAATGTATAAAATTAATATAAATGGAGCAAAAATAAATAAATAAATAAAAAAATAAAAAAAAAACCACTTAAACGTTTTGTCAAAAATGTCCAACGTAGCTTTACCAATTCTCGAAGCGATCCAAAATTTGTGGACACAGACCAATGAATATTTACCCAATTTAAATACTCACCTTATTCAACTTACACAGTTGTTTAATTCACAAATAGCAACTTTAAACACTTTAAACGATTATACCCTTATCATCGTTTTATTCGCTGTATCCTACGTTCTATTTTCAATATGTAAAATGATACTTCGATGGGTTTATGGCACAGTAGTTGGTATGATTAAGTTCGGGTTGTATATAACTATTGTTATTGCTTTATACTGGATATATGTTAGTATTGATATAGAAAAGGGCAATGAAGAGATTAGAAGAACGCAACAGAAGTTTGTTCAAGGGGTTAAGGGAGCAGTTCGTAGTGGATTAAATGATCTGTGAGCTATTAATAAAATAGACTATATAACTTTAGAATAAGTAGAATGAGGAGGTTGATCTTTTTCTTCTTGTCCATTATTTTTATAATAAATCATGTGAGAATACGAAATAAGAAATAATTTCTATATTTTTTTTACAACCTATTAATCTAGAATTGTATTTTTAAACATTATCTAAAGTATTATTTTTGTTTATAAACTAGAAGGAAAAGATATAGTTAATATTTTTTTTAGATAAAGTTTACACAACATATAACTTTAATATTCCATACTCCAAATTTATTATAAAAGCTTCTTACATGTACACTCAATGAGAATTATATAGAAAATTGATCTGCCTTGCCTTATTTTCTCTTTCTCATCTCTGAAAATATTTCAAGGATTGAATTATTACAATCATTATCTTTAATTGTATAAATAACCATTTATTTATTGATTGGTTAATTAGTTGTACATTGTACATAAAGTTTATTTTATAAAAATAATCTAAAATATAAATTAATGAAATTTTTTAATGGTAATTAAGTGTAACCTAAATAATGATTTTTTTTTTTATACAGATGAAGTTGGTGGTTTTTTAATAATTTTAACACCAGGTATAGCAGTGGGATTAAATGTCCTTTGACATTCAGCATAAGAGACTCCAATTCCAAAACCAGTAGACATTGCAATAGGCCAAGATTTTTCTTTGTTTTTGTGAAAATTTATCGAATTATTATTATTATTATTATTATAATTAATATAATTATTATTAGTATTAGTATTTAGTTATAATTAATAATTAATAGTATTATTATTAAATATAATTAAATATAATTAAATATTATGTTTTAAATAACATACTTTTAAATATAAGCGCTGATACAACAATTCCAACACTGAGACCGATGCCAGTTTTAACTAATAAATTGGATATGCAAAGGTCCCACTAAAACAAAAACATAATAAGTAGAATAAGTTAAAATTGCATAATAAACACCATGATTTTATAATTTCTCCAGATGGATAGATTAATTAAATTCAATTATCACCTTTTTGTTTAGAATCTCTTCACTAGGCGTTTTGTTTTCTTCGCTCATTGTTTTTTAAATTTTTTTTTTTAAAAAAAAAAAAAAATAATAATAATATCAATTTATATAATTTATAATAATTTTATATCCCAATTTACATCCAATCAGAGAAATCGATCAAAATAATGACGAATATCCATAATGATAAAGTCATTTCACATACTTTTTGGCAATACAATAATTATCAGATATGCCTTCCTCTTCTAAACGTAAAAATAAAAAGAGAGAGAAAAGAGTAGTCGGACTTACAGAAGAACAAGAAGAAGAAATACGTGAAGCTTTTGACTTATTTGACACAGAAGGTTCGGGTAGTGTTAATATAAAAGATTTCAAGGTCGCCATTCGTGCTTTGGGCTTCGAGCCTAAAAAGGAAGAATTAAATAGCCTTCTAAATGAAGTTCATGATGGAAGTGGAACTATTGATTTTGATAACTTTTCCGCAATAGTTTCTACAAAAATGGTTAGATTATTCTTTCAAATAATTTTATTTATATTTATTCTGTATACTTACTTAATATCCTTACTTAATATCCTTAATGTCACTATTTATTTCCTTTACAAGTCAGAACGTGACGTACATGAAGATTTCATGAAAATATTTCGACTCTTTGATGATGACGCAACCGGGAAAATCACCTTCAAGAATTTAAAACGTGTCGCTAAAGAGCTTAATGTAGAAATTAGTAATGATCAATTGAAAGAAATGATTGAAGAAGCCGATTTGAATGGAGATAATGGAGTTGATGAAAATGAATTTCTTCATATTTTACAAAAAATCAAATTTATATAAACATAATCTTGATTATTATTATTTTCTCTTTATTAATTTACCATTTCTTTTGACAAGTATTAGGTTATTCTATTTTTTCCCTATGAGATAAATTTTGATTTGCTTGTAACAAAAAGTGATTCTTCTTAAAGAAGATTAAGTATTGTTGAAAATTCATATAATTCATTAACTTCTATAATTAAATAATACAGACAACTAAGATAATGTACTAACTCAAATATAATAAAATATAGTAAAATATAGTAAAAATATAATAAAAACATAATACTCTATAATATCAATAATATCAGTAATATCAGTAATATCAATAATATTCAAAGGAGACTTAAGATGATTGATTACCAAAGCTTTATGGAATTCAGGAAATCCATTTTCTTATTAAATCTAAGCCCGAAAAGAGTACAATTTATCTTTAAATCCAAAGTTTTTGTGTTTTTTTTTTTTATACAATAAAACATATTATAACCCCCAAATTAGAATACCCTCTGTACGCATCTAGGCACGAATCATGTTTATTGGGGGTGGAATGTAACATACCCAGGTAGCCAAATCTGTAGCAAATCACTACAAAACGGGGGGCAAAGGATGTCAATCTAACACTAAACATTATCATCAAAGAAAAATAATCGTGCGCTAAACTTTTTTCCCAATACAATTAGTTCTGCAGCCAACTCTCACTTTCCTTTGTCAATAAATATTTAATATAAAAATAATTTTTTTTTTTTTTTTTTTAAAAAAAAAAAAAAAAACAAAAATATATATACATTCTGCTTCTACAGGTAAGAGAACTTAACAAGGTTAAAAAAAAAAAAAAAAAAAACTAACTATAAAATTATATTAAAGTTTTGATTATATTTCACTTTTATTTAGATATGGCGCAACTTGAAGACATTGCGCAAGGTACATAATATATTATTTTCGCATGTTTTACCTTCGATCGGAAACCATTAACAAAATAAATTATATATAGCCGTACGTCTGGAACACTATAGGAGTCGTCAAGAAGCCGCAAAGGGATTCGAAGATGATCTTGAATTTTGTCCTTCGTTATCAGCAGAGGAGGTACGACAAATAGTTTAGAGGTCATAATTCTTTCGAATTTTTTTTTTTTTTAAAGAAAATTCGAATAAAAAAAGATAAACAATTGTTATAATTATTTTAATTTATATAAATTATATAAATTATATGGATGCACTTTGTTAATTCAGCTTGCTGAAATTCGACGTCAGGTTTCTCAAATGGTCGGTCATGGTCAATCGAAACCAAATATAACATCACCACAACATAAGCGACCTATACCCATTATCGACCCAAACAACAAAACACCTCTTAATATAACTCCTTTAAAATCATCTGCATCAACTGCGGCGCAAGTATCAACATTTTTCTCAAGGCCAGGTTCACCATTTTCTTATGGTGGTAATTATTCACCAACATATCAATCCCTGTCAACTCCTGTTAAAGTGACAAAATCAATACCGATTATTGATCCTAATAGTGGGAATATCGTTAATATGCCCAATGGAACCTCAAATAATACTAACAATGGTAATAATACCGGTTTTGGTGGTTTCTATAGCGACATTTCTGTACGGTAAAAAAATATTATCAATGAAGAAGCAAAACAAAATCCCTTTCACGAACACTTATTTGTCACGCTATTATCAACATAGATTTTACGAGCAGACATGATTCTCACATATTCTCTTATTTTTTCTATTTGATTCTTTTTTTTTCTTTCTTTTTTGCATTTAGCACATGAATTAATTCATCGTGCGCATTTATTATTATTTCTAATTATGTATTTTCAAAGTTTTTGTATAGGCTATAAAACATCATTTACTTTTCAGTAATGTGTTTTTCATGTAATAAACATCAATTTTTTCATTATTATTAACTATTTATTTGTAAATCTATTTGGTCTTGGTTTTTATTTTTATTTGATTTTATTTTTATTTGTGTTTTATTTGATTTATTTTTATTTGTGTTTTATTTAAATTTTTTTTCAAGTTGTATTGTATTGCTTTTTTATTTTTACCTCTTACTGCGTTTATATGTCTAGCTTAACTACCTTATTTAGAATGCCGTTTTTTTTTACTGTAAATTACGATTTTTCCTTAAAAATGTTTTCAATGAAATGAAATGAAATGAAAGTACGAAAATTAAAAATAGATTTAATTTATTTTTGTATTACTTTTATTTAATAAATGATGCTGAAATTCTTATTACAAAATTATCTCCGATTAAGTTCATAAGAGTTGCCTGCCTTAATTAATTCCAACCTATTACAACCATAACTCTGTCCATCGGCACCGTTCTCGGGACTGTTGTTCGGAAAATATTGATGGAGATTTTATCAAGATCAAAAAAAAAAATCAAACTTAAACTACTTAAACTGAATCAACTTCAAATTTTTTGAATTCTTTTTAACACAATACATTAATGATAAAAAAGAAATGGGAATACCAGGCTTCTTTCGCTGGTTATCTTCGAAATATCCACATATTGTTGAAACTGTCAAAAAGTCTCCTCGAAATAAAACTGATTTTTTATATTTGGATATAAATGCCTTTTTTCACGTTGCTCTTCGCAGTAAGGTTAAGGGTAAACCAATAAAAAATATGGCTCCCCGTCGCATGTTAGGAAAAGTCTTTGCAGAAATGGATACGGCTTTTAATATCACCGACCCTCAAGTTCTCATTTATATTGCAATGGATGGTGTAGCACCTCGTGCTAAAATGAATGAGCAAAGATCCAGAAGGTTTATGTCACAAGAGGAAGAAAAAAAAAAAACAGAAAAAAAAAAAGAAAATAACAAACAAACTGTTAATATAGAGAAATCAGTTATAGAACAATCAACAAAATCAGGTTTCTTTGTCCCTGTTGATAACGTTTCTATATCCGCTGGAACAGAATTCATGCAAGCGGCCAATGAAGCAATCAAATTTTACATATATCAACGATTAAACGGTAAACATAGAAACATTCAAATTATATTTAATGATTCTAAAGTCGCCGGAGAAGGGGAACATAAAGTTTTTAGATTTTTAAATGCACAACGCAATCATCCAAATTATAATTCTAAACATAAACATGTTGTTTGTGGAGGTGATGCAGATTTTATAATGTATGCCTTATTGACTCATGAACCAAGTCTTCGAATTTTACGACCTGGACTTGAAGGAAAAGATATTATCCTTCATATAAGCAAACTTCGTAAACATATCATTCATGATATGATTCAAGGAGAAACATCCACCAAAATTAATGAAGATAATATTATAGATGATTTTGTGTGCATCGCCTTTTTGCTTGGTAATGATTTTTTACCACGGTTAACACATCTAGGTGAAACCCGTGTAGATCTTCTTTATGATGCATATAGTCGTTATTTTAAGCAAGAAAATCAATATATCACTAAAAAAGATGGAAAATTAAATTTGAAGATGTTCCTCAAATTTTTAATACAGTTATCAAAGTTGAAACCTGGTACTATAAGAAGAGGATCAATTATTCCTGAAGAAACTGTCAAAGATGAAACAATAATTGCAAAAAGAGCAAATGATTATTTAAAAACTATTTGTTGGACGTTTCAATATTACAATGGAGATTGTCCAAGTTGGAGATACTTTTATCCACATCATCGACCTCCAACCATTCCCGAAATTTTGACACATGTTAAAGTGGAAAATTTTGATCAAACTTTCAAGAAAGATTCACCATTGCGACCTTTTGAACAATTAATATGTATCTTACCACCAAATGCCAGTTACCTTGTTCCAGCACCTTTCCGTCCACTATTTACCAATCCAGATTCCCCTCTCAAAGAATATTTTCCAAAAACTTTTAAAACCTCAAATCACAAGGCTCTTTTGCCTTTTGTTGATGAAGAACACTTGATTCAAGCAATGAAACCGGGTTATTCGTTATTAAAGAAGGAAGATACATTACGAGATATGTTAAATGGACGAACTCATATTTATGCAGGGCGATGTTCGGCTTCCTATTCAGCAGTATTTTCTCTTTGCTCCGGTAGATGTCGTGTACCTAATTTCCCTATATCATCAGTTGTATTTGGAAAATTATTATACGATGGGCCCATGTTAAAATCCATAGAACCACCTGTTAATGAGTTTCAAAAAATCAATCGTAATTGTGTTGCCATGGTACAATATCAACTTCCATTTATTCCCAAAAATGAACCATTTTTAAGAAAATTTAAAATACAAAGAAACAAGCAAGATCGACCTCCAGATCTTATGATGTGAGTAATCAAATCACTTATTCGAAATTCATATTTAACACATCTAAAAAATCTTAGATAAATATAGTAAATATAATAAATATAATAAATATAAATTAATATAATAAATATAATAAAAAATGGATATTGAATTCCTGGAGATACATTCCTGTCAACAATTCTTCCCCTTTACTAAAGATGAATTTCAAGATTTATATTTTTTTTAACTTTAGTTGATAATTCATTCTTAAAGTCATATCTTTTATTCAAGTTCTCATTTATCAAAGATATAGTAATAGGATATATTATTAATAATCATATTAGATTGAAATTTTTTTGTTACAATAAGTTTTTAAAATTAAATAGTAAAATAATAAAATACTTCATTTTCAATTCAAAAGATTTTGAAAAAAATCAATCAATTTTTTACAATTTTTATGTATAAAATTTCAAACAAAAAATATTTTATTAACTGTGAAATTTTATACTAGGAAAATTATATTATTATTTATATTATAGGAAAGATCTTTTACCAAGTGCTTTCTAATGTTGTTGGTAGAAAGTTCAATTAAGATAATATGTGCTTTGTATTTGTAAAAATTTTTGATAAGTGATAAAATATTTTATTTTATGAAATTTTCTAATGTACTTCAATTTCAAGTTATTACATTAATTTCAGGTTACTTAAAAATACTATCTGTATAAGATGAAATTTCAAAAATTAGTATAGTATGATTATAAATTTTAATATTATACAATGGAATTTATAATAGTATAATTGAAATTATCTTAATATATTATAATTATACTATTTTATTAAAAACATTGTTACTAGACTTATTAGTCAAATACAAAAGAATCACTGTATCAAATGGTGATTTCTATATTATAGTCAACTAAAAATCAAAATTCATATATTATAAATTAGCTAAAAATTGACAGTTTTATTGTATCCTATATTATAAATTAGCTAAAATTAGAATTCCTTTTTGGTATCACAGGTCAAATACAAAAGAATTGTTATACTGTGATACAAGAAAAATTCATTAATTTATATTATATTTATTTAATTATCTAATGATACATTATTTTATTATTAGTCTAGAGACATATCCACAAGAGACAATAAAATTTGTTTGAAATCAGAAAATGAAACTATCTTGAATGGACTTAATAATATTAAAAGCAATAAATTAAGTGTGATACAAAATAATAGTAACGTACAAGTATTACATCTCCTGGAGATACACATAAGAAATACAATAACTGAATTCTCATATCTTCATCCAAAATACAGTAATTTCTGAATGGATAAGACAATTCAGGAGAAATTGGATGAGATAAGGACAGCTATGAATAATCACAGGGAGATTGACATATATACAGATGGTTCTTTAAGTGTATTAACAAATATTAATGAAGAACCTTTGATAGGTTGTGGATGGGTTATTATAATTGAAGAACAAATTAAATACCAGTTTTGTGACCAGGTTGAAAATTTCACTTCATTTACTTGGGCTGAGTTAATGGGAATACTCTCAGCAGTATATGCTACACCAAGAAATACAAAATTAAATATCTATACTGATAGTTAGGCTTCAATAGTAGCTATTAATAATAGCTTAACAAATAAGAAGAAATTATTTCGTAAAACTAAAAATTGGCAGTTAATTCAGTCAATTATTGAGTTAACACAGGTCCATAATATTAATTTATATTTATATAAGGTGCAGGCACATTCTGAAGTGACTTTTAATGAACGTGCGGACGAAATAGCTAAAAAGAGAATTCGTAAGCCAACATGTATATCCAAAATTGGAAAACTAACATCAGTTAATGCAATTGGATATTGGAAAAATATTAACATAGAGTCCCCTTCTGTGGATTTATGAAAAAGTTAGGTACAACAAAATCTACAGTTAACTGAAGATTGTTAAATAGAAATAGAAACTCAATATCTGATTACAAAAGTCAAAATATTAATTGAAAAATCATGTGGAATACAATAGCATTATTATATAGAGAAAAATCTGCAACAAATAACAAAGAAAATAGAGAAAGAGCTTTTAATATGAAATTGCTCAACAATGAATTATCTACAATGGAACGTATGTATAGTAGATTTTCAAAGATATATAAAAATAATAAATGCGTGTGATATAATTATAATATTATTGAAGACCAGTTACATGCATTCACGTGCAATTCAAATTTAGTAAATATACAAATGTACAAAGATAAATTTATAAATATTCTGATAAATCAATTTAGTAAGGTAGCTAAAAAGAAAACAAAAACAGATAAACTCAAAAACAAAATTTATGGATTAAGTGAACTAAAGTAATCTGAAGATGAAAAGAATTATGATAAAAATGAATTATCATTTTTTGATATTATCATTGGATACATTCCCAATTCATTATACAATACTATATCGTCATAGATACAAAACAAAAGAGAAGTGTTCAAAATTTTTGAAGAGACAATGGTAATTTTCAAGAAATATATAAGAACAAATATTTGAAATTATCATTATAAAATTATAAAACAATGGGAATTAAAAAATGGAATTAAGAATATAAATAAAAGAAAGGTATTAAATTAAAATAATGAAATGATTATTGCTAATAATAATGTCAATAATAATAGTAGAGATAGTAGTAATGATATTAGTAATAATAACAACAATAATAATAATAAAAATAATAATAATAATAGAAATAAACATAAACAACTAAAAAACAATTGTTATAGTACAGTTAGTAAATATATTTTATCATTAGTGAAATATAATAAACATTGGTCAAGTATATATAATATAGGCTATTCGGCAGGACTTTAACAAGTCGATAATAACTGTTGTTATCAAGTAGTAGGTTGCAGGCATGTTTCGTGTTAATCTTAGAATAGACAATTTGAATTAGTCTGAGTCTCATCTTTTCAATAGATACTAGAATAAGTTGTGTATCTTATATTATGTAATAATAATGTAAGAGACTTTCTCTTTTTTTAGTTAATAAATTTGAGATAAAGCCTTATCAAAACCTTTAAAAAAAAAAAAAAAATTATTTTATTATTAGTTTTATTATTATTTCTTATTTGTATTTTTGTTTCATCAAGAAATTTTAAAGAACAGATAATTCCATAAGTTTACAGAATGTAAAATTTCCATAAATTTTTGTATAAATTTCCATAAATTTTCATAAATCTTTAAAATTTTTTACATCAAAAGATTTCATTAATTTTTATAGAATATTACAAAAAGCTTTTCATAAAATTTCAAAATTTTTATTGTATAAAATATTATGAAAAACGTAATATTCTATTTAATAGACTAAATATATAACACAAAATAATCTTGTTTATTTACCTAAATGATCTTGTTTATCTTCATCAAGAAATTTTTAAAGGCAAAATATTTCGAAAATTTTTACCTCGTTAAATTTTCGGAGTTATACGACACCTTCGTAAATTTTCAAAAAAATTTTCGAAAATTTTTGAATTGTAAATCTCCGGAATTTTTTGTTTCATTTATTTTCGAAAATTTTTGTATATATTTTCATAAATCTCCATTTATTTTTAAAAATTTTTGTATATATTTTCGTAAATCTCTGTTTATTTTCGTAGATATTCGCGAAATTATTATAATGGTATATTTGAGATTTACATACAAAACATTTTAATATTTTACAGATTTTTCTGAAACTAAATAGTTAATTGTGAAAATAAAATGCATATTGTAACGATATTATTATTAAACGTTAATTGTTTATTAATTTTATTGATTTAATAAATTTTCGGAATATTCTATTACATAAATTTTTAGAATATTCTATATAATTGTATACATTATTATATATATATTGTTTTTATTATTCTTCATTATCATCATCTTCATCTTCGTCGTCGTCGTCGTCGTTGTCGTCGTTGTCGTCGTTGTCGTCGTCGTCGTCGTCGTCGTCATCATCATCGTCATTGTCATTATCGTCATCGTCATCGTCATCATCGTCGTCGTTACCTTCATTATCTTTATTACCTTTATTTATTTTTCTTTTTTTATTAATAGTTTCGTATGCTTTCTTTAATACATTTGTTCGAATTTCTGCAAGTGAGGGTATCATATCATCAATATCCTCGGGTTTATTTTTTCGTTTTTTTCTAACTTTTTCCAAAGATGGAGAGACTGAAGGTGAAAAAAATAATTCTTGTACATCCTCCTCCGCTTCAATTTCAATTTCTTTATTTGCTATTTTAGCCTATGTTTTATT